ACATATGTGCTTGACACAATGTATGTATGTATGGATTGTGATGAGAATTGTATGAGCCCCCAATAAAACAAAAAAAGAAAAGAAAGTAAATGTCTAGAAAAGAATAATGGCAACATATGTAGAAACATGCTGGATACAATTGATGTATGGATTGTTATAAGAGTTGGGAATGATGAGAGCAATGAATGTACAATTGTGCTTCACACAATTGATGTATGTATGGATTGTGTTAAGAGTTGTATGATCCCCTAATAAAATGATTTTAAAAATTATAATAAAGGTTATCATATCAAAAGAACCAGACTCGGATGGCTACCAGGAGTGGAAAGAGAAGGAAGAAATGGGAAAGTAATAGGTTATGGGGGAAATAGGTGTCAACTTGCTGAAGAGGAAGATAATATCTGACCAAAAAAAAGAAAGATGAAAAAAAAAGGAGGGGCAGAACAAAGTTTGATAAGCTGTTAAAGTTGTAGAATACAAAACTGAAGATCTGATATGTAAACCCCAAACTAATTCACAATAAAAGGTTAAAAAACCTGTGGTGCAGTGAATTAACGTGGCTCTTCTAGTTATGCTCTGGATGGAACTATATATATAAGGTGCTTGTTGTGCACCAAGGGGATTGGACAGCTTCCTGCCAAATGAAAATAAGGTTCATTGGAACCTCTGGGCCAGGCTATGCAAATAAGGTGTATGGAATGCTAAAGAGGGGATTAGTCAGTTTTGCCATCCCTTAGGCATAAAAGGAGGCATGGAGAGTGAGGAAGTGGTGTACCAAGGAAGACAGAGTCTGATGCAGCAGTTGCAAGAGTGTAAGACGTGGTGGGAGATAGCTTCTTAGGGCTTGCCAACTCATGGAGCTAAGCCTAAGAAGGCCACTATGAGCCAGAATAGCCATGGATGGGTTTCACTTCTGTCTCTTAGGAGCCAGTTTTGTGCTGATCTTCAGAAGGAAACAAATATTGATTTAGACTTTTTTGAAGTGTTAAAAATCAGGGCTGTCTTCTTGAAGACTAAAATGTGTCTGATCCAAGCCATGCTGTTTTTCAATCACCTCGTATGCTTACAAAAGCTGGACAATGAATAAGGAAGGTGAAAAGATGAACTGATAGAGTTGAACTGTGGTCTTGGTGAAGAATATAGACTATATCATGAACTGCCGGAAAAATGAGCAAATTTGCCTTGTGAGAAGTATGAGAGTGAGTCAAAAATGTGTTGCTGCAGTTCATGTCCGGTGCTGTTACGTTGGTTCCAACTCATAGTGACTCCGTGTGCACCAGAATGAAACACGGCCCAGTCCTGCACCGTCCTCACAACTGTGCTTGGGCCCACTGTTGCAGCCATGGTGTCACCTATCTTGTTGAGAGGCTTTCTCTGTTGTTTGCTGACCTACTTTATCAAGCATGACATCTTTTCCAGGGGCTGGTATCTCCTGATGATATGTATAAAGCATATAAGATGAAATCTCACCACTCTTGCTTCCAAATAGCATTTAGGCTAGACTTTTTCCAAGACAGATTGGTTTGGGTTTTTGTTGTTGTTTTACCAAATCAGAAACCTTTATTAAACAAAACTAGCAAAACACGAAGCTGGTGTGTTTTCCCATCCTCCATGGAGGGCTATATAATTCTGAAGGTGCTGTTCCCGTCGCTTACCTTAGCTCTTCAATTGACGTCACCTCCGAGTGGCACTTGTGGGTCCTCGAAGGACCCAAACCGTCTTCCTTTTAAATGTTCTTTGAGTTTTGTTGCTATGTGAGAGCCCATTTTTGTAGCCACTAGGTTAATCATTTTTCACTGACCTTTTACTTAACACAATGTCCTTCTTCAGGGACTAGTCTCCTGCTGATAAGATGTCTTATACAGGCAGCCCCCAGGCTATGAATTACTGGCTTATGGACAACTCATATTTGACCTTGAATGTTCTGTAAAATTGCCCTCACTTTGAGATAGGTTTTATTTGGATTAAACTCATGCATGGATGAACCGCTACATCAATATTTGACTTACCCTCATACAGCCAGAATGTCCGTAGAAAGGAGGATGATGAGTCTTGGTTGCATGTACTTAGACTGTATTATTGAGAGCGACCAGTCCCTGGAGAAGAACATCATGTTTGGTAAAGTTGAGGGTCAGCCAAAAAGAGGACGACTCAATAAGATAGATTGACCCAGTGCCTGCAACAACAGGATCAAACATGGTGATTGTGAGGGTGACACAGGACTGGGCAGCATTTCTTTCTGTTGTTCAGAAGGCTTGCTTGCGTCCAAAGTGACATGATGTCACCTAACAACAATGAAGGGCTGCACAGGCAATTGCTGTAATTTCTGTCACTAATTTGTACACCTGTAAAAAGCTGAATTGGCATAAATTGTGTGTTAGGTATACTTGCAATAAGGAAAGAAAAAAATTGCTGCTGAAGCTGCATATATACAGAAACCTCATAATATTTGTTTTTTTTTATGAAGGTAGCCAGCCCTACAGGTTTCATGGAACATACCAATTATTGGGTCTAATAACATGTGCAGTGCTATTGTTCTACCTCCTATTTTCTTGCCTAGTGCCTTGTATCTTTAAAGCTTACAGCGGATTTCAAGGCACAATTGGTCTCTCTTTGCCTGGAGCAACAGAAGAAAAAGAACACCAGAAATACAAGGAGGATATATGGATTATGGGACTAATTGTCTCCTTGAATAATTGCTTCATTCACCATGATACCAGAAGAACTGGATGGTGCCCAACTATTATGACTGCACATTTTGATCAAAGATTCTGTAGAAGAAATGTGATCTAAAAGAGAACAATATAGAACAGATTTCAAATGCCCATGGACTATAGACTTACTGGTACTAAGAAGGTAGATGAACCCCTAAAATTTTGCCCTGAGATAATCTTTAAATCTTAAACCAAAAATATCCCCAGAAGTCTTCTTAAAACCCAATAACACTTTATCTTAACTAATAAAATATGTTTGACTTGAGTATTAAATTGTTTTAAGAACTGTCTATATGGGGTTGAATTGACAACAGCTATGTGAAATATAGGCTCCTTAGGGATCAGTGAATTCATGTTAACGTGGGGGAAAACTAAGAAAAGGAGGGTGAGAATGGTTGCACAACTTGAATGTAATCAATGTCACTAAATGTATGTAGAATCTTTTGAACTGGTGTGGGTTTTGCTAAGTGCTGTCAACAATAACAACAATTAAAAACATAAAACCACGAAAAGTACAATCTGGAGAATATAATATTAAGGAGTCACTATTGCTCCCTGTATATTGTAACATTTTGATTACATTTTATCAGTGACACCTCTTTAGAGGTAAGTAGTACAATGTGTTCAGATGAAACAATACATTAATTCTGAAAGTACGGTTTCTAGACAATAACACCTGGGAACTTTGGAGAAAGGCAAATTCTTGATCACATTCCATATTTACTGAATCAGAGACTGGTATGGAGATGTGAACCCTAGTAATGCATATTGTAATAAGCCTGCCAGATTATTCCGATGCCTGTTCAATTTTGAGAACCACTGTGACCATGTGGTGCTCTGAAATCGCCCCAAAATAATTAGGGGAAGGGATACTGGGGTTTGTAGGAGTATAGTTGAAACAAGATTGGCTGTTAGTTGATAATTACTAAAGTGGGTAATGGGTGCATAGTGCCACAATGAACTTTATTCTAAACTTTCATATGCATTTGGAAGTAATAAAACGTTTTCAAAATTTAAAGAAAAATTGGAGCATCATTTCACAGTATAAGTGGTGGTATTGTAATAAAGCCTTTCTAGATCATAAGGTATGGTTTGGAATATCATAGGGTTTTTGAGCTGACTTGCCTCTATTCTCTAGGAGAAATGCAGGAATGCCCTTTAATGGACAGTCGGCTTTTTTTTTTTAACATGAACCTGTGGGAGCTTGGGATTTTATTTGTTTTTAAGGAGTCACAAGTGTAGACTGCAGTCTTCGTTTCCACTTTTAGCTGCAATCTGCTCTTTTGTGTACCTATAAATGAAATGCCATGTAAATAGGAACCCAGGATAGGATTACTTGTTCTCAAAGGTCATGTACCAGCTGTAGTTGCTTAGTAAGTGTTCTTGTAACTGGGGTGTTTTTATTTACTTATTTGTAACTGGGATGTTTTTTAACAGCCATGTTTCCATTTATTTCTGCAGAGTGTAGTGAAGCTCATGAGGGGACTGCTACACTGCATGATCAGACAGGTATGACAGTTAATAGCTTCTTCTTGAATAAAAGCATATTGTAATAGAGTTTCTACTCCTTAGAGAATGAATGTTTATAGCTTTCTAAAAGATTTCACAATATCACACACTAACTTTAGGAAATTTGTAAAATCAAAGACTGCTTCTAGTTTTTTCCCTCCTCTGCATGAATTTTTAACATGTCCATCATTACTGTACATGCAATTATGTGTATTGGGTGAAAGATGTCCAAAGTATGAGATGAAATTTCACCATCCTTGCCTCTAAGGAGCATTCTGGGTATACTTCCAAGACAAATTTGTTTGTTCTTTTGGCCGTCCATGATACTTTTTATCTTCTTCACCAGCACCATAATTGAAATGCATAGTTCCTCCTTCGTTCTTCCTTCTTTCTTTTTTTTTTTTGCAGTGAGAGAGTGAGGCAGTGAGTCAGTGAGGCAGTGAGTG